ATTTAGGTAGCATCAAATCGCTTGGACTGTTGAATATTTTTGAACTGAATTTATTATTTCGCAATCAGTTTGATATGGGTAAGAGTCAATATCACCCCATAATATGGTTTCTACGTTAAAAATCACGTCTAGGTCATATAGAGTATCAAACAATATTCGTCTACAATTAGAAAATAAAGCACACGAAAGAAAATCGTGACTTGCGTCTTCAATGACGTCTCCACAAGACAAATTCCCACCCTAAATAAATCTGAGCGCAGTCCACTACAGTTGTTCCTTATTCGACAATGTATAACAGAAAGGAAACGGTTGCCAGAGTGTAGATAATCTGGAACTGAAATGTTTACAGGAGAAAGCTTAGATCTGAAGGTATATAAGGACGGGGACGCTTTTACAGGATTAGCTACGTTGTTCCACAAATTTATAGACGACGGCACAAAGGATTTTTTCATAATATTTAGACGACTGTGGGGTATTTGGTAATTGTCAGGGTTTCTTAATTCAATGTTTAAGTCACGTCTAATGGGTGGAAGTAGATTTACCAAGTAAGAAGGGGCTATCTTATTGTGTATTTTGTAAAACGTAGTCAATTTTGATTCCTCTCTTCTTTGTTTGAGAGAAACCAAACCTGTTTCGCGATACAAAGACTCGCGAGACGCTATCGATGTGAGACCAGTAACGATTCGTGCAGCCTCTAATTGGACTTTTTCTAGTGAGTCGGACAAGTGTTCCGAACAGCCATCCCAAACACAAGAGGCGTACTCAAGAATGGGCCTAATAAACGATATATAAATAGTATTAAGAGTAGACTTATTTACCTTGTACTTAAGTTTTTTCATGGCACACACTTTTTGAGAAGAAGTTTTAATTAGGAGATTAACATGGTCACTCCATTTGCAATTACTACTAAAGGTTACACCTAAGTGACGATGCGAATCATTGAATTTAATGGGTTCACCATTGCATACCAAGTTTGCTTTGGCAGGGTTATTTCTAGGAGAAAAGATAACTGCCTCCGTTTTAGCAGGATTGAATTTCATAAGCCATTGGTCAGACCAAGTTTGAAGACGATCTAGATCCTGATTCAGGGCAACTTCAATTTCATCTGAGAAGGCAGATGATTTTTGAGGAGAGGAATGATCAGCAAATAATCTCACAAAAGTGTTCATGGGATCAGCTAAGTCGTTGATGTAAAATAAAAACAGCAAGGGACCCAGTAAAGAACCCTGTGGTACCCCAGCCCTGACCGGCTTAAAAGGAGAGGTATTGTTTCCATATATAACAGATTGGTATCTATTGGTTAAGTAATTTTACAACCAGGATAGTGACATTCCATCTATTCCATACTGATGGAGTTTGAACAAGAGACCCTTATGCCAGACTTTGTCAAATGCCTTGGACAAATCGCAAAATACAACACAAGAATATTCATTATTATCCAAAGAGCTAACAATACTGTGATACATTTCTATCAACTGATAGACTGTGGAGTGGCCGTGAAGGAATCCAGATTGATACTTGTAAAAGATATTGTTGTCTCTAGCAAAGTTAAAAGTATATTTAAAGACACATCTTTCCATAGTTTTTGACAAGCAACTTAGCAAAGAAATAGGCCTATAATTTGAAGGAACATTAGCATCTCCTTTTTTAAATACTGGTAAAACGTGTTTTTTTTTTTTTTTTTTTTTTTTACATTCCGAAGGGAAAACAGCATCCCTTAGAGACCTATTAAATAACAATGTAAGAGGTTGTGAAATAGTTCTGGCTGTAGCTTTTAGCATACGGTGACTAATCCTGTCTGGACCAACAGCTTTCCCTATGTCAAGAATAGATAAAATATCATAACATCTCTTCCTTCGATCATAAAACTAGAAAGTGAATTAATGCATTTTCTGACGAAGTTTGGCAGATTAGTATTAGAATCATCAGTACTGGAGACAGAAGTGAATTAGTTATTGAGGATTTCAACCTTTTCCTGGTCACAAAATGCCATTTTGGTTATACCATTAACATTGTATTCTAGAGGAGGTATAGAACGAGGAGAGGAGGAGAAAAAGCTGTTAAGAACTTGCCAAAAGGCACGGGGATTTTCAGTTTTAGCCGTAGAGACACGTGATTCCAAATTACAGAAGAAATCGGCCTTGGCCTTCTTTTTCATATTATTTCCCCTGTTTCTCATACCCCTGTATGAAGACCAATCTTCTTGGCGCTAAGAACGTAATGCCTTTTGTTTTAGTCTGTCCCTTATACGACAGTTTTTACGTAAAACCGAATCGAACCAGGGTTTGTCGGAGGGACGGATAGTAATTGTAGAATTTGGTATAAAGATTCTAGCCAGATCTAAAAATTGCCTAGTGAAGTTGGAAACAGCACAATCGATAGAAGGTGCATTAAAAATTAAATCGTGCCAATCTACTGATGATAACGAACCATTAAGCCCAACGTAGTCTGCCCTATTATAATTCCACATAAATCTCTCGTAAGATGTGTTACAATTATAAGAAAATGATAAATTTATAAAAGTTGCTTTATGATCACTAACAGTATTGTCTACACTGAATGTCCCACTATCGAGACATTTAATATCCGAAGAAATAAATATAGGATCTAAAAGTGTAGCTGTGTCAGTGGTTACACGAGTGGGCTCGGTAATAACGTTTACGAGGTGATAGTTGGTTACTAAAGTAGCTAACTTATTGTTTCTGTGTAACATATCAACATTAAAATCGCCAAGGATAACTATATCAGAACAATAATCAGAGACAGTCTCAATGCACCACTCGAAATTTTGATAGAAAGAGTTTCTGGAGTTTGGTGGTCTATAAAATAATCCAACCATGATACCTCTATTGTGGCACATAACTTCCGCCCAGATGCATTCTAGATTTGCTGGTTCAAACTCAAGTTTGCGACAAAATTTAATAGAATCTGAAAAATATATAAGAGCACCTCCACTAAAAGCATTTCTATCTTTACGTATAGAAGTGGAAAAGCCAGGAATAGAAAGAGAATCACTTTCGACTGAATCGTCTATATGTGTCTCCGAAAAGCACAAAATGTCAAAATCACTGATAAAAGAATCGAGAAAAGAAAATTTATGTCTAATGCTTCTAATATTTAAGTGGAGTAAACTCAAGTCAAAGTTGCCATGATTGTCAGGACCAGGGTTTGTTTCAACATCTCCACTTAGAATTAAGATAATAAATAGAAAGGGAAAGTCAGCACTATAAAAACCAGATATATATATGTCTAAACAATGATAAACATGTTTGGAAATCCATATGGAATATATCTTAGTCATGTCTTTAAGTAATGTTAAAAGAAATAAAAGGAAATATGCTGGGTTCCAAGATATTTTACATGAGGACGTAAACGAGTAGATACTACCGTTAAACCTTCCGATTGACGCCCTGTAATCCTCTAAGGAATTACCCATTATCTAGTATACAAATATAGGTAAGTATAACATACAAGTAGAGGACATCAATCGGGATACAGTCGAAAGATTGGTAGAGAACGAATGTAAAAGGTAGACAGAAAGAATATGATAAACATGAAAGAATAGGGTGGATAAACGATAGTCTGAAAGAGAGAAACTAGAACAAATTTGTGTCTATAACAAAAAACAGTCATCGTTGACATATCACTACTGAGAAAGGGGTAAGAAGAAAGTCAGAAAAAAAACTAATTCCGGGAAATACCATCAAACATATAAACATATAACGATAAACCAAAATAACCAGTTCGCGCACTTACTCCCATACACATCTACTAGTTGTTTAAAAAAAAATCTGTCTAAAGCGCACACAGAACCTGTGCATATATATCACATGCAACTTGCACACATATCTGTACGAAAATCATCAAGCATACATGTACTGCATACTCCATACACACCATGTAGCGCACATACTACCTATGGACATATGAGTAAACAAGAATAAAGATACTTTTACGATTAAACCTTAGATAGTGAGGGGTACAAGTATATCGGCTGACAAGACAGAATTTTGGATAAAGAATGGACAGCAAGGGAGAAAAAAGTATGAAGCATATGCATTGCAGCATAGCGTAGTTAGACATCTTAAAAAGTAGAGTAGAAGATATAATGTCAAAGACAAGTAATAGTCGTAACATGAACAAGTATATGTAGGGGGAAATAACACATGTGTTGTCAAAATAAACAGAAAGTAGATTGATAAATATATGTAAGTATCAAAATGTGTTGGAACTTGAAAAAAAAGTGCATATTAATACGTCGGATTAGCGATACCATACAATACTAAATATTAAATCCTAAACATTTTGTTACATACTTGGCGTTGCACAACAGGGTAGTCGAGAGGCAACAATGTACGGATAAATACATGAAAAAAAATCATGATTATGCATGGACTCCGAAATAACGTACTACGAACCTATACAGTCGGTGGAGTACTGCTAATCCAATGACATCATCAGCCGGGTCCATCAGTCTCTGGACGCTTCAACCCCTGTCCCGGAACGTCCTCGTGATGTTGGGTCGACAGTGCCGATCAATTCACTGCCTGTCAATGGATGGCTTCCAGTCTTTCTCCTCCCGTTTGCTCCACAGCCAGCATGATGCGCGTTCCGCAGCCTCCGCTAGTCTGCGCGCCACCATCTTTCGTGTCCTCCCGACCACACCCAAAGCCTGAAACGTCTTCCAGACTGAGCGTGCCGGGAATCCTCTGCAGCCGACCTCTACAGGGAACAGCCAAGTGCGCCACCCTCGTTCCCTGCACTGCTCCATGAGGTTTGCATATTTGACTCTCTTTCTCTCGTTGGCCTGGTCACATCGTTCTTCCCAGGGCACAGTCAGCTCGATGACTACAATCTGCCTGGATTCTGCAGACCATATCACCACATCAGGACGTAGTGTTGTTTGTACCACGTCCGGAAACACCAGCTTTTTCCCCGGGTCCACTCTCATCTCCCATGTCTCTACCCCTCCTAGAATGCCTGTGATGCCTGGTGTTGTCCTAGTCTCCTGCTTTCACAAACCGGATGAAGGATGGTTTGTGCTTTCGTGGCGGACTCTTCCGTTTCCTCTCCACCTCGAGAACTTCTGCCATTTCCCTAAGCACCTGGTCATGCCTCCATTGGTATCGTCCCTGAGTCAGTGCTGTCTTGCACGCTGAAAGGATACGACTCATGGTCCCACGTTCTTGGCAAAGCTGACATTTTGGCTCTTCAACTAGTCCCCACTGATGGAGGTTCGCTGGCGATGGTAGGGTGTCATATACCGACCGCAGCAGGAACTGGATCCTCAATGGTTCATAGCGCCACAGGTCTGTCCATGTCAGTTTCCGCTCCGGCAGCTTCCATCTTGTCCATGCCCCTTGTGACCCCATTTCTACTGCTCTTGCTTTCCTAGCTCTTTCTTCCTCTCTACGAATCTCTCCCTGTATCGTTGATCTTTTCTCCTTGTCATCTGTTCCTTCCCACCCCTGGAAATGTGTTGCCCCCAATCCTTGCCGCCCTGAGCAGGTTGCTCCGATCATGTCCCGGTGCTTGAGAGCTCCCTCGGCCTGCTCCACTGACTGGCTTGCGGACCATTTCCTTCCTGTCCTAGTCTGGGTCCCTGCTTGCCTTATCTTCGCGTCCTTCGAATCCCTCAGCGTCTTCACCAGTCTGGCCTTTGTGACCTTAAATTCCTCCACCACTGATGACAGTGGGAGCTGTAGTGCTGATGTCCGGCTGTAGAGCCCGATGTTGGAAAAACTCGACGGGACTCCAAACCACCTTCGCAGGTAGCTGCTGATGGATCTCTCTATTCCTTCCACTGTTGTCAAAGGAACCTCATACAACACAGTGGCCACATGAGTCTCGGCAGCAGTCCATGTTGGAAGATCCATGCTTTGAACTTCCCTGGAAGGCCTGACTTGTCTATCTTCCTCATCCACTCAGTTGCCTGCTTCTGCATGTTGTTGCTGCTATTTGTATCTTTCTGTGATGCATCGAACCACTTTCCTAGGCACTTGATGGGGTTGTCCACGATTGATGGGATCTCTTGTCTTTGTACCTTCAGCTTGAACTGCCGGGTCAGATGTCCTTTCTTCAGTATCATGCATCTAGATTTCCTTGCCTTGAATGTCATCCTGGCCCATGAGACTACCTCCTCCAATACAGAGAGAACCCATCTTGCTTGGACATGCGTGGTGGTAGTCACGGTCAAGTCATCCATACATCCTCGGTTTGATGGTTGGTAGATCCCTGATTCCGTCCTGGGCCCCCTGGTTTCCCGTCCTGCCGCCTTGATTATTAGGTTCATTCCCATATAAGGAATTCCACTTGGGCCTGGCGGTGATCCTGTTCTGGCCTTCTTCACGACATCTTGAATCTCTTTCCAGGTTGGTTCCTTGATGTCCAGAGGAAACTCAGTAGGCTCTTCTACTTCTATCCGTGGACATTCCCCCAAAGGAATCTCCCTCTCTTCATCACCATGCGTTTCTTTCAGGTGCTGCTCAATATCTGCTGTTGAACTTTCCAAACGGCCAGATCTTACCCCTCCCAACAGAGTCTTTGTAAAGAAGTGGGGGTCCTTGATAAAGGATGCCATCTTCCTTGCTCTTTCCTTCCTTGTTTTCTGTATCTGTTCTGTCTTCCTGAGTCTTGTCAAGTTCTCCCTGATGTCGTCTCGCAGCTGATGTAATCCTATCCTCTCTTCATCATTTGCCTTCCTGTACTGCCGGGTCACTATTTCAGTTCTCTTCTGAGTCGTTGGATGGTATTCACTCTTCTATTCGGATTGATGGTAATCTTAGGATTTCTCCTCTTTCTTCTACTCCGAATCTCTCCTTGCTGAAGGTGTAGATTATAGTTCCCATTGCCTCAACTTTCCTGTCTAAGCTTCCGATTAGAGCTGACTCCAGGATGGTCTCTAAGTCAGCATCCAAACTTCTCCACGCTTCATCGTTGTTCATCTTTGGCCATTCTATCTTCTCCCTCCGTGCTGGCTGTGCTCGATGTGCTTGAACACTGTGGTCGCGGGTTGTATCACTCAAGTCTGAGTTGCTGACTTGTGACGAAACCGAAGCGGAGAGGTCCCCAACGCTATGGGGTGCCTCCTGACTGGGGTCCTCCTGCGTCTCACCAGATATTACTTCTGGGCGCTGCGTCTGTAACTCCACAAGTCTGCACTTCGTCCTTGCTTGATGGATCCTCAAGCCTCGAATGTTCTTGCACACCTTCCCGCACTGGCATTTAACTTCTGCTGATGCTCCTGTCAGCGTTGTTTGTACCATACGTCTCTGTGTCCGTGTCATTTCCGTTAGATCAGTCCCTGTGAGCCTTTCATCCTCCCCCCTCTCGGGAGGCTCTGGGGGTGTCTTTCTTGTTGTTGTGTTGTGTTCTGCAGGTAAAAACTTAAAAAATACACACACAAAAAAAATTTCTTTATCAGTGAAATACAAAAACTGGGTTAAAACAGCACAGGTAAGTGTGCTATATTATCGGAAGCTTCAGATAAGTTAGAAATGATATGCACGAACTATAGAAGAACTGGACTGGGGTCATGTCCTTTGTTATGTTAAACGAGTGAAGCTAACACGTGATATTATACCATAAGAATTACGCAGAATGTTGCAAAAAGTGCACAGTGATACTTTTAAAATATACACAAACGTTTTTGAAGAAAATGAAACCGGCAACAATTCGATATGTATATAAAGAGAGAGAGAGAGGGGAATGTGTATATGTTCTTGTTAAAGGAGATCGACCATACAGTTTGAACCAAAAAGTTCAGGTAGGTACGTAAATGTACTGTAAACATACGCTAACCATACACATAATAAATGTATTCAGTTAAATGTGTAACTTATATTTACCAATCTATAGTATTCATGTAATATTACACATGTAATGGGTTCAGTGTAAATTTCATGATTGTGATTCTATATACATGACATGTGCTTAACAGGAGACATGTATATGAGTCAAAAAGTTCATAGGACAATAAAAGATTAGAAATGAAATATAACTGGGATATGCGCAACATAATACAGGACAGGAGCAAACTGACTAATAAAGTTAGTACACCTATACAGAAGATGGCAAAAAGTCAGTGAGATCTTGGAGGCTATTGATAATTGTTTTCTTGGCTTCCTGGGTTTTTTTAGGAAGATACGCCCATCGCGCGTTCAAAACGAGTGGATTTTGCCATCATGACGAAGTCTGCTAAGTTGGTTGACAATCAGTTGCCGCTTTTTGGTGAGAGATTCAACAATCATAATTTTGTCACTGTTTTGCATAAGTTTCTTTTAAGTTAAGTTTAAGTTTAAGTGATCTGAGCCGCTGGTGTTTTAAGCTAACCTTTATCGACATCAAACTTTATAAAATATGTTTATTTATACACAACGGTATACAACTCTTTATTGTCTTCTATGACACGTATATCATGAATGCCACAAAGCGCGATTCGTGTTCAGATGCTTGAAGATCACGTGCACGGCGCGTTGTGACGTTAGCGTTGATACCCTGTATGCTAATCCTATAACATATTATATATATGCATACACAAAACTGTTCAAACAGAAGAATTGAATCACCAAAATACGTAATTTGAGCAAGTGACATACATGTATACATACATTTTATTTATTAATTTTACGTTTCGTTAAAGCCATAAAAGCAAATTTGGTGGTTTAAACCAGAATTTTTGACGCACTTTATTTGGTAATTATTTTACAACAGTGTGAACTCGCGACACGGTAAGCGTATGAATTTTAGTCACATGATTACATAGACGAATGAAAATCGTCATAGGGAATAATAATTGGTATGAACAAAGCGTTTTCGCGGGAGAGTGTACACTGTCATTAAGAAGACAAAGACTGACCTTGTCAGAGGTGTAAGTAAATATTCTTTTATATCCGATGCTAAGTAAAAATATAGGTATTTAGCCTCGTGTACATTTAACTACTATTTGTTGTTAATGTTCATATGTTACCTTTTTATTGAAAATATAAGTTGAACTAAAGTTAATTATACTTGGAGAATCTGGTTACAGGCAGATTCATACAGATATTCAGATAAAAGTCAGATACTCAGGTAAAAATCATAGAATTTATAACACAATTCCCAATTCCATAAAAGTGTAAATAGAAAATTGAAAAACTCGATTTCATATATTATTTTAGAAGAAAATAAATTACCCTCTTCACCCCCCCTTGACCATTGACAAGTGGACAAACTCAGAGATAAAAAAAATTTTTTTCAATAAATAAAATTTCTATTGGGCAAGCCATGGCACAGATTGTAACAGACATTAGTAATGATGATTTTTATAAGTGAACACCGTAAGCTTATATAATCGGCATCGGCATTGTTTTAATCAATTGATAATTAATTACGTTCACCCAAATAAAATATTTCTCTCTCTTGGTATATATCCAAATATTTTATCTTGATTACATCAAATTGTAAAATTTCTATCGGGCAAAGGCTTCATGTTCATTTGAAAACTTGTGCCCGATCCTATTTTGCACATTGATCCTAATGAGATGTGTTTACATCAAATGTGAACACATACACCACTACACGACACACCTATTAATAAAATAGACTCTACCCTAAACCACGCAACTGGCTTTGACATTACCCAAGTTAGTGAAATGTACTCAATTAATCCCTAAAATTCTCCTACAATACATGTATGCTACCGTAGGGCTTACGATCCACGCAATCAGGAACCCTCGGCACTTTCCGCAAGCGAGAAAATATTTTCTAGCTTCCGGAAAGTGCCGAAGGTTCCCGATTGAGGATCAACGGGCAATATACGCGACACATAGCACGTGCAAAATGCGCGCCAAAATGTACTCGGAATGAAATTTCCCCAAAATGACGGAAGGGCATAGAAGGTACCAGCCTCACCTGTCACTACACTTATAACAAGGTTTGTATCAGTAAATCAAATGACATTAAGTATTAGATTAAGATAAAACAAAACTGAACGTCAATAATTATCTTGGAACACGCGACAGCAAACTTGAGTTATGTAACAACGTGGAATCTACCGATCATGTTTTCATCCGTTCCAAACATTTAACAGCAAGGACAGGGAAAAAACTTTCTTGCACCAGCGATGGTACATATTGAATATTGGGGACTCGGAGGCCCATGTCTAGGGCGCTGTAATGGACGCAGTAGAGATCACCTTCTGATTATGAAAACCCTGCTCAAAGCTCCTCATATTCGGAAGTATCCCAGGGAGACTGCACTAGTAGTGATGGAACATCGGTTCAAAATTTCAATCGATCATCAGTTGGAATCTGTTGGTGTAACGATTCGATTAACCGATGGATAATCGTATAACGACATAAATGTCCATTTCCTCCATTTAGCAATGGAATACTTGAGCTGATAGTTCTATTTGTATATGCACAGTGTGGGGTTCCAATGGTTTGCAAGTTTCACATAATGTAAGCATGTATTTAAATGTTAAAAAATGTTACAGAACTTTTTGCTGTCGCATGTGATTGTTATATATATTTTAGAGTAACATTATAGCACACCTTTCGGTATATGCACCCTTTGGTTATTAGTTATCCTCTGCTTAGTGCTAGTTAGCTTTGTAACACATTAGCAAGGTGAGTGGTGTGATGCATGTCCACATTAACCATTAGCCAGGCATTACAAGCATTAATATAACCTGAGGGGTTCTAACTAGTACAGAAGTTCCAAAGACAATACTGACAACAATACGGAAAGTTGGAAACAATCATCATAGACTTTATTTATATATCAATGAAACCAGGGACTTATAATACAGAGGACGTACAAAACAGAAATTAATTCAAATGAAAAATTTAAAAAAAAAAAAAAAAAAAATCACACAAAATCAAAAATACACTGCAACTTATTTGCACTTTGAGTTTTTACTCTACAGTAACATCTTCTCTATAATTTCAATCATCGCAGTGATAAAACCATGGCCACTTCCTAGCAATCAGCGCAGTTACCATAACGTCTTATTGTTTTTGTTCAGAAAAATAAACAGATCAACAGGATGAAGACAACTTCTCTTCTTTGAAACTAACTCTCCGACAAGAGAGAGAAACTCTCTCACTGCTGACACTACATACTTGAACACACAGTATTTTCTTTGCTATGACTGAAATTCTAGGGAAGAAAACTTTATTTCTCTGCCACCATTCAAGGACTGTAGAGGTTTGGTCACCTTGTACGACAGTTGCTAAGTAGCTTGAAAGTTCTGCTTGGAATTAAGTTTCCAATCTTTCTGGATGTAATGGATGGTTGTAGTATTGTTACTTTCAGTTGCTGAGCTCGTCCAGCCATCATGTGTGATACCAACCCCTACAATCTTGTATCTCGTCCTTTAGCCTTTGTTCAGCTTGTTCCTTTCTGTCTTCAAGGGATGCTAATACTGATTTTTGGCCTGGAATAATGTACCTGTAAAATGATTCAACAAATTATCAACCACAATTTTTTAACACAATAAGACGACAGATAGTTTTTTAACATGGAATGATTTTGGAGTAATGATGAAGCACTATCTGGATAGTGATATTATTGATATCATTGGTTGGTTTAAAATGAATA